ACCGCTTTTGGAAAGTGACGACGATCCTCCTGCGAACGCGGTTGAGCGGGGGCACCCTGGTTGTTCTTGGATTGGCCTCATGGGGGCTGATGCACATCTCGGACCGGGGACCGCTGATACGAGACAAGATCGCCTCGATAACATGTGTCCAGGCAGCAGTATACCGCGGGGTAGAGAAGGAGCTGCTCCCGCTCTTCCCGCGCGACGACCCTTCCCAGCATGCAGGGCGCGGAAGTGGGCACGAATACCATAGCGGCACCGCTGGCGGAGCTTTATTGCAACATAAACCCGCCGGTGCTACAGACTCCCGTGTTCTACGGACACTACAGCATCGAGTTGAGGACCTTGCTCACACGGTGCGCACGCACGGATCGATTCCTGACGCCAAGCACCATTCAGCATGGCAACCACTGCGAGACCTCATTGCTGGGAAAGGACGGCTTGCGCGGTCGGCGCAAGTGATGCCAGCCGTTCTCTGGGACGAGCTTGCTATCTTGTCGCAAGCCACTTTGATGCATGTTCCGATGCTTCGAGCGGTTGTCACGAGCCTTGCGATGCCAGCGGATTAGGGGGGGCAGCGCGTGGCACGCGCTCGTGGCAAGGGTTCTCGCAGTGGCCACGCGACAGTTTGAGCAGCCGTCCGAAGCCGGCTCGTGGCTGGACGAAACCGAAAGGGTGGCAGCTAAGTCAGGTACACACCTCATTGGGCCCCTCCAGTTACGACGACGACGTGGCCAATGCACAACGAGATTTCTGGGATGGCATCTGGGACGGAAATGTTACCACGACCTCGTTGGAGCCCCTGCAAGAGGAACTCGACCGTCTGCGGGGTTCTGGGCCTCGCATGCCTCCCATTGGGACTTCCAGGCTCCGCGAGGCTACCAAGTCCATCCCCATCAGGACCGCTGTAGGAGCGGACTCTTGGAGACCTCGTCACTGGGCCCTTGTGTCGGATCAGGCTTTGGCGAGCTTGGGACATTTATTCTACATGTGTGAACAATGGGGGGCCTGGCCTAGGCACATGCAACAGGTGCACATAGTCCTGCGACAGAAGCCTGCAGGTGGCTACCGACCGATCGCCCCATTAGTTTCGCTCTATCGCATGCGGGCCAAGGCCCGATTGGATTTCGTGAGAGGCTGGGCGAATCAGCCCAGTCGCGACTACTTGGCGCTGGGCGCCAACCGTTCGACGACAGACGCTGCAGCACGAGTCCTGCTTCATGGAGAGGCGCACCCGCCTCAGGGAAAGATGTGATGCGACGACCTTGTGTGTACATGCCATTGTTGACATTGTGAAGTGCTTCGATCGTGTGGGATGGGCTTCCATGGTACGCGCGGGGCTCAAGCATGGGTTCCCTGGGCCCCCACTGGTTCTCGCGTTACAGATGCACGCCGCCTCTCGGAGACTTTCGCGGTCAGGAGTGCACTCAGAAGGTGTTTGGGCATCTCGAGGGGCCTTACCTGGATGTAGTTTGGCGATGTACATACTACAGTTGGTCATGATCACTCCCCTCGACGATTTGGTGACGTCCTCGGTCTCGATTGATATGGCTGCACATGCATATGCTGACGATCTCACGATGCAAATTGCTGCCAGTCACGAGAAGATACTGGAACATGCCTGTCGGGTCTTGCAAGGGGTGGTCGATGCATTGCAGCCTATAAAACTGGCCCCCGCCAAGATGAAGATGACAGTCACAACCACGTACATGCCTATTGCGAAGCGGGTATGTCGGGCATTGTTTGATCTGGGATATCGTTCTTTCGATTCGTTGGAAGTCCTAGGTGTGGAAATATCCTCATGGAAAACGCTGAAGTTCTCACGCCTAAGTAGTCGGCCACGCAAGATGCAGAGCCGCCATGCACGACTCCTACGTGTCAAGAGGGCAGGACAGTTGGCCTGCCGATTTGCTAAGGCTGCGATCCCACCTGCTCTCACGCATGGCGTGGGCGCACACGGAGCGCCGCCGCAACTGGCACGAGCTATGCGCGCGGCCCTCAGGGGCTCGAAGCACGAACCTGGGAAGGGGGGCCCTGCTTGGCCACCGCCCTTCCTTCACGGGGGAGGGGTCGCAAGACCCACAAGTCACGGCTTGGGCCGACCCTATATACCAGTGGGGCTTCCTATACTGGGACTCGGCGCCACACAGCGCGCTGCAACAGGCGTGGCAGCGCACGGCGCCAGCGGTGCTTCAAGCTGCTCATCCTTGGGGGCGTGCAGGAGGACCTGCAGGGGCCACGGCACTTGCAATGAAAGATCTCGGATGGGGTCGCGCCTTCGGCCTGCCATGTTCGGACTGACCTTGGAGGCGTTCTGGACCTCAGGACTTTCCCTCCTTGCGCGCTCATGGGCCTTGCTCGTGAAACCGCCGCGCGGAGGTTGTGGGTCGACTGGGCCCACAGGCCCAACCGAGACGCTTCGGAGCACCCGGACCCCAAGACTCCAACAGGCTACTGGCTGGACCCCGCACCGGCTGTCCTTCCACGGGCCCGCGGCGGAGAGGACCCCGAGCGCCCGCACATTCTGTCTCTCCAGCAGGCGGGCACACTTCGCGCGTTGGCCATGGGAGGATTAGTGCCGCCTGTCCGTCGACAGTCCCACATGTACTTTATGCACCCACAATGTAGCTGACTACTTCCATGTTCCTGGGGTATGTGGTGCGACGGGAGGCGGGAGGAATTCGCTCTACAACGACGCAGACATCGAGGCCTTGCCATATCCCACCACTACTGCTTGCTTTTGGAATCGCGGCCTCTACTCCAAGGCTCTGTTACCCAGAGTACCACCACGCGACGATTCGATGGAGTGGCATTCTATATATGGGGATCGTTCGGCTGTGTCAGAAGTTGTCTTTACGGACGGGGCCTGCCACAAGTACCACTATTGGAAGGAAGCCACCCGTGCGGGGTGGGGATTCGCCCAGGTCACAGAATCAACTGTCGAGCTGTGCGTCTTCGGGGTTCTGCCTGGTCCAATACAGACCAGCCCGCGAGCCGAGATGTATGTTGTTGCCCAGCTCCTCAAGGTGGCCCTGCTTCCATTGTCAGTGCACACCGACTTCATCGAGCTGCCGCAGGGCCTTGCCAGAGGCAAACGATGGTGTTGCTGGCCGCGACGACCGAATGCGGATCTGTGGATCTAGATTTGGGCGAGAATTGAAGATCTTGGAGGACTGAGCCCAGACTTGAGGATTCTTTACACGCCAGGCCACCAGACAGGTCGACCTTTTGAGGCTCGAGGGAACCGATGGGCCGATTTTGCTGCGTCCAATGCAGGGACCTCTGCGCGGTTCCGCAGGCCCAGGTGAAGGCCGTGAAAGCCCGTTTCAGTGCCGTCAAGAAAACACTTGTCTGGATGGCCAAGGCAAACACTTCATATATGGAACAGATCGCCCCGCCTGGCCAGAAACGGTTTGATGTACGTCGTCGCCGTCGGTTGTCGCAGGCGGAGGGGAATGCTGGTCGAGTTCAAAACTATTTACATAAACTGCACGCTGTGCGTGGGGGTTAGAGGTGTTTCACTTGTGGCCGCAACACTCGCTCCGACGCCCAGCGCAAGATGCTGGTACGCCGAGTTTGTCCTGCTAAGCTCGCTGTTCACGATAGATTGGTCGGGGGGGAGGACTTGCGGGAAGGAGTTGCGGATAGGATCCGAGAGCACTCGAGGTCACCCGAAGGGTACCCAGAGCCGCCTCGGAGCCGAGCGCGGAGAGAGTCCCCTTCTGCGCATTCGCCCTGCTCGCCTCGCCACTGACGCTTTTCCGTCCGAGGGCGAGAGGAGGGTGCGTTTCCGAAGCGACGTCGACGCTGCCGCCTTTGCTGCTGCCGATCGAATTCGCCCTCGCTCCTCCGATGAGCCTAAGCCACCGTGCAAGGCCCACCGTGTGGCCCCCAGTGGGGGCTCGATTGCGCCGAGTGCGCGCCCCGTGGCCGAGTTGCCCGAGCAAGGTGATCTTCCTCCTTGTGCGGCCAGGGGGCGCGAACTCTTCGCGGCCCCTGGCAAGGTAGTCATTTGTCTGGTGTGTGGAGGGGTTTCTACGGGGAGGGCATCCTCCCCTTTGGACCCTTGCCCCCCACCCCCAGTCTCCAAGCGGGGTCATTCCCACATCAATAGGTTCAATACTAATAGGCATCCTGCCGATCTGCATCGATTTGAAAGTAGTTCGGGGCAGAGACGGTTGCAGGTTGCCGATCAAGAGGTCGCATGGCTTCGCCTAGACGCCTAATACATATTGATTAATTAGCGAATTAATCGTAAGTCTGAGCTCTTCACTTTCACTTTCTTGTACTGCTCAGCTGCGCTGTGGCGCCTCTCCGCCGCGATCCCCAGGGTGGGCATCGAGTGGTGTCGTGAGCAGCGCTCGGCCTGCTGCCAAGGCAGTGGGCCCGTTTGAAAGTGGCCGTTTGTGCTAAGCGCGACGGATCCCTTCTATGCTGCGTACTCCTCCTCCTCGTCCTCCTCCTCCTCCTTTTCCTCCTCCTTTTCCTCCTCCTCCTCCTCCTCCTCCTCCTCCTCCTCCTCCTCCCCCTCCCTCTCCTCCTCCTCCTCCTCCTCCTCCTCCTCCTCCTCCTCCTCCTCCTCCTCCTCCTCCTCCTCCTCCTCCTCCTCCCTCCTCCTCCTCCTCCTCCCTCCTCCTCCTCCCCCTCCTCCTCCCCCTCCCCCTCCCCCTCCCCCTCCCCCTCCCCCTCCCCCCTCCCTCCCTCCCTCCCTCCTCCTCCTCCTCCTACTCTCCCTCCCTCCTCTCTCCTCCTCCTCCTCCTCCCTCCTCTCCTCCTCCTCCTCCTCCTCCTCCTCCTCCTCCTTCTCCTCCTCCTCCTCAGCCTCCTCCTCCTTTCCACCAGCGTGGGCTGGGTCCCACAGGGCCGCTTTACCCCCCTGATAGGGATGTGGGCGGCTCTCTTCGGGTCTCGAGGTGCAGATCCCCGACCGAGGTGGTGAGACGGTGGGGCTCGAGATGCGGACGGGGATGGGGTTAGGGATCGGTTGAACGGTGCCGGGCCTCAGCTCCCCGCAGATGTCCCGGAGCTCCTCGACGCCCTCCAAGCTCAGGAGGCTGGACATCTCGAAGAGGCGGGCGAACTTGTGGCGGAGCGCCTGCTCGCTGACGCTGGTGAAGAACGAGCAGAGCGCGCGCACGTCGCTCTCGAACTGCAGGGCGCCGAAGAGGCTGAAGCGCTTGGACAGCGCCGCCTTCTCGATGCGCCTGCACGTCTGCTCGGCCATCTGGGACAGTATCTCGTCGCACGACGCTGGGTTCAGCACGGACCGCAGGTGCGCGTGGAGCACCTCGGCCTGGGCGCTGAACGACCTCGCAAAGGGGTCGTTGACCTGGTAGTCGTTATACTGGGCCTCGTCGATGTCGTAGTCCAGCGTGTCCAGCGGCACCAGCGTCCTCTGGAGGTGCTTCTTGAGCAGGTTGAGGCCGTCCTTGCAGTGCTTGGCGTGCTCGTTCTCCAGCTCCACCTTCGTGGCGTCCAGCGTGCCGATGCAGTGCTCGAACATGACCCGCTTGTCCTTGTCTGGGCCCTCGCTCGGGAACCACTCGTCGAAGGCCCCCTGCGTCTCTAGAAGAAGAAAAAACGCCATAAACATTAACTTTTGGCGCTCCGCGCGGAGTTCTTGGATCCGCGCTGGACCCCCCATCCCTGGCGCGCGGCGGCGCGCTCCGCGCGCCAGGGATGGGGGGCCCAGGCGCGGATCCAAGAAATCCGCGAGGAGCGCCACAAAAAGTTTATGTTTATGGCGCTGTGTCTTCTTCGCGTCTCCCCCCGCAGCTTGTCCACGTACCCCACGCACTGCTGGAGGTCGTTGAGCGCGTGCGGCCAGCTGTCTGCCGCGGTCAGAGACGCCCTGGGCCGGCCCTCCTGGTCGACGAAGAGCGTGGCGAGCGGGTGCTGGCCTCTGGAAAGGGGTCCAGGGACACACAAATAAATAGACACAGATCCCAGGATTCCCCATATCTTCTCATATATTTTCTGGGTTTTCGTCTTCCCCCCCACTTCCCATATTTCCTCATATTTTCCTGGGAGACGATGATTACTTGTGTCTGTGTGTTTCTTTCCACTCCTGAGCCTCGCTCCGCGGGGGCGAGATTCTGGGGGTAGGTGACCCAGTTGCTGTACGACGACTTGCTCTCGGAGAGGTTCCTCACCAGCGCGGACTTCAGCTCCCCGCCGAGCGCCGCGTTGACGTGGTTTACCATCGCGCAGACCGCATTGATCTCGCAGCTGCTGATCGACCGCCCCAGCGAGGTGCTCATGACGAAGAAGGCGTCGTCCACCAGGGTGGTGGTGAGCTGCTCAGCGTCGTTGGGGTCAAGACTGTCTGGCGCACGTATGGCCTTTTCCACAGATCTCAGCAAGAACGACTGCTCTACGAGCACATCCGCCCAGCGTACCCCCATGGCACGTTGCGGCGTGGCAGAATGCGAAGGGCTGCCTGGCAGGATTCTGCAGATAAACTTGTCATGGACCCCCCCCCCTCTTCTCGCACCCGGGTGCATGCATTCCCCCCCCTTCCGTGGCACGAGCAAGTGATCCGCGCTCCCGAGGCCACGATCCCTTCACACAAACTACTGGTCCGCACTCCCGAGGCCGTGACCCGTCCCAGAGCGCAGCGGGCCCGCGCGCCCGAGCTTCCAAGAGGGCCGAGGCAGGCAGCCGAGGCCACCTCCACGACCCTAGACGCCTCCGGGACGGCCCAAGATGGCCCCCAAGACGGCCCAAGAGGCCCCCCCAAGACAGCCCCACGAGGGCTCGGAGAGGCCAACACCTCTGATGCTCCATAGATGCTTCTCTGAAAAGCTGTGGGTGTCTTCACCTCTGCGGGCTTCCTCCAGCTCCAGCCGGCCCCGAAGGTCTCCAAGACGGCCCCGAGACGGCCAGCCCACGAGGGCCCCGCACAGGATGCACAGCAGCAAGACGCCTGAGACTTGGCTGCTAAGATGGGTGGCGACATCCGACCCCTGCCCCCACCAAGCGTCGGCTCCCCTGGATCGATGGCAGGCGTAGGGTTCGGACTTCGCCACGTGCTCGACGCACTCCGAACCCTACCCGCGCCGCCCACCGAGGAGTTGCCTGAGTCGTGGCTCGGCGAGGGCAGGGTTCGCAATCCCCATTCCTCCTCCCCCCTCCCCCCAGGCACGGTCTCCGATAGGAAGAGGCCCAGGATCGATCGATCAGGAGGCCCCAGGATGCGCGGGAGGGGAGCGGGGTGGGGGGCGGGGAGAGGAGGAGGATGGGGGAGGAGGAAGGGGGGAGGATGACGAGGGGGAGGAGGAGGAGGAGGAGGAGGAGGAGGAGGAGGAGGAGGAGGAGGAGGAGGAGGAGGAGGAGGAGGACTTCGCCGCCGAGAAAGGCACAAGACAGGCGCGCCGCCGCACGAACGACGACGCCAGCTCGCCGCGCACGGGCGGCGGCCGGGCGGGGCCGGCGCCCCGACGGGTGACCGCGAGCAAGGCCCGCGAGCAGCTCACCGGGCCAGCGCACGAGGGCCTCACTCTAGGGGGCCACATGCGACCCCTACCCCCACCCCCCACGATTTCTGAGGGGGAGGGTGGGGTTCACTTCGTGGGGGGTAGGGGTAGGGGTAGGGTTCGCATGTGGCCCCCTCAGAAGTCGTGGGGGGAAATCAGGGGTAGGGTTCGCATGTGACCCCACCCTCTCCCTCAGAAATCGTGGGGGGTAGGGGTAGGCTTCGCACGTGGCCCCCCACACACGGACCCCGTCGGCGCCGGCGGCGGGCTCGCCCGCTGCGGCTCCGGGGCCGCGGTGCGCGGCCCGTCGCCCGGACCGGGCCGCCTCTCGGCAGCCCGCAGGGGGCCGGGAGCCCGCGCCCTTCCCCGCCGGCTCTCCTCGCTGCTTCCCTCGCGTCTGCGCCTGGGCCCTGGCCACTGGCGCGCGCCCGCCGCCCCCGACAGCGCGAAGAGGCGGCCGGCTCAGAGCGGCCGTCGCGGGTCGGTGGTCCCCGCGTTCTGGGTCAGGGGGGGGTGCGGCCCGCAGGCCAGAGGGAATGGTCAAGACGGGCAGCTCCCGTCGGCTTCACGCAGGAGTGAACCTACTCTGGGTTCCTTAATAAGCGTGGGGGGTACCCCCCGACGGGGGTCAACCTCGCCTCGTCGTCTCGCCGCGACGGGGGTCGGAGCGCCTTCGGCGCGCAGTGGCTGCCCGCGACGGGGGTCGGTGTGGGGCTGTCGGCGGGGGTGACGCCCCTCCGACGATTATTAAGAAACTCGGAGTAGGCAAGAGTGACCTTTGGTGCGCGGACTAAGGGGGTGCAAGGTGGCCAAATCCGACCGCGCAATCAGCCGCTATCGCATCGCGCTCAGCGATCGGGCAGACCCCGATAAGCCCGCACCAAAGCTCAATCCGGCGAAGGACACAATTACGTGTAGCCGCTCCCCCAGAGTGTCGACGCCAGCTGAGCCGGCCCCAGCAGTGTGGCTCTCTTTGCAGTGGGGAGGCGGAGGCAGGAAACGGCAGAAGAAGAAGAAGAGGAACGCCCTCACGAGCAGGGTCAGTGCAGGCGACGCCCAAGAGGGCCCCAACATGAGCCAAGAATCCTCCAAGATGCCCGCAAGACAGGGATCGACCTAAGCGGTGTCTCGCAGGAGGGCCTCCGGAGACCTCCCGCACGGCCTCCAAGGCCCTCGACGGCCCAAGACGGCACCACGGCGGCACCACGAGGGCCCCAAGACGGCCCAAGAGGGCCCCAAGACGGCCCAAGGGGCCCTACGAGACCCCCAGGACTGCTCCACAGGAGCCCACGACAGCCTCGAAACGGCCCGAATATGCAGAGGGAGAGCTCCTCAAGAGACGGAGACGAGGTGTGTCACACGTCACGGTCTCACATGCCCCCTCGAGCAGTCGCCACCAAGAGTGCTGGGCTGGCACGGAGGCGGGACTTGCCGCAGGCAGCCGGATAAGACGAGACCAGCTCCTGGACCCTATGGACCAGCTTGCTCAGCTGAGGCAGCCCATCCTGCTCGTTGTAGCCCTGTGGCAAGCTCTTGACGAACACCTCTTTGTCAGCGATGAGCTCCACGACCCCCTCCGCTACATTACGGATGTAGGTGTCGAACTGCTGGGTCCGCTGAGTTATCACAGCTGTCTCATCCAACACTGCCCCGACCTCCTGCATCTCGGTGGCCTGCTGCTGGAAGACCTTGGCGTTGTCCTTGAAGAACCTCTCGAGCACGCGTATGCCCTGGACGTCCACCTCGTCCAGCAGGCCGCGCACGACGACGATGAAGTTCTCGGGCCCGAACTCATTCTCCACGGACTCCTGGTGCTCTTGGACGATGTCGGCTATGGCAAGGTAGACCGACCGGATCGCCTTCTCATACGGCATCGGCTCCGCGTCGACCTTCTTGCCGAAAGACGGCGGGGCCAGCTGCCGGAACTCCAACGCGCACTGCTCCGCCAAGGACTTGCGGATGAACTCCACGTACTTCTGCACGCCCTCGCCAGCAAGCCCAAGCGGGTGGAACAGTTTGGCGAAGCGCGAAACCTTAGTGGTCTCTGGAGACGGCAAGGATTTCGACCGTTTTCAACAAGCTGCCTCTTGATCGTGAAAACTGCACTATTTGCCAGCGTGGACCCCAAACACTACATAACTACACTCTGGATGTCTCATATACAAGGCGCAACGCAAGTGGCGCTATAGGTTGTGCCATAGGCTGCGCCATAGGCTGCGCCATAGGCTGCGCCCAGAACGTAAACTGTGGGGTGTTGCACTGTGAGTATGTGGGAGGTGTGGTGCAAGCGATGTGGTGTAAGCTATCTGGTGCCAACCAAGGTGGTGCAAGCAGCGTGGTGTAAAGAGTGTGGTGCAGACTAGGAGATGCAGACTGTATGGCGCAAGCCGTGTGGTGCAAGCTCCGTGGTGCAATCTACGTGGCCCACGCTGTGCGGTGCGGGCAACGTGGTGCAAGATGTGCCGCTCGTACATAAAGTCGCCAGCAAGTCAGCCAGTGCACATAGTGAGCATGAGCGCTGGGCGGCCACGGGGCCCGCCACGGGGCGGCCAGCCACGGGGCGGCCACGGGGCGGCCGCCACAAAAGAATCCTCGGCTTATCCGCCCAATCCCTAGTGAGACATGCAAGAACCTCGAGTGCAAACACTGATCGAAGAACAAACGGTTCACCGAAACGGGGAGAAGCAACGGTGTACTGAAATGGCCTGGGCTGTCCGGGAATCTTCAAGACGCTCGGAACGAGAACGGAAACGGCTCGGATCCTGCATCAAAAACTGTGATCTGGACCAGGCCACCACCAAGTAAAAACGAAAATGGTAGAAGGACGGCGCCAGAAACGTCAAAACCGGCGCCGACCGCCATGAGAGAACTGGAAAACGAAGACGGCTTAACACAACAACAACAACAACAACAACAACAACCACCACCACCACCACCACAACAGCAGCAGCAGCAGCAGCAGCAACAACAACAACAACAACAACCATAACAACAAACAACAACAACAACAACAACAACAACAACAACAACAACAACAACAACAACAACAACAACAACAACAACAACAACAACAACAACAGCAGCAGCAACAACAACAATAACAACAACAACAACAGCAACAACAACAACAACAACAGCAACAACAACAACAGCAGCAGCAACAATAACATCAACAACAATAACAACAACAACAACAACAATAATAATAATAAACAAACAAACAAACAAACAAACAAACAAACAAACAAACAAAAACTGCCCTGTTCTTTCCAGTGCCCGCTAAGCGCGAGACGCCCGCGCTGTCCTTGGCCGCCATGGCCCCCTCGAAGCGCTGGCGTACGAGGGCGCTGAGCTGGGCTTCCGCCTCCCGCAGCACCCGCACAGAGGCCTCGTCCGTGCCTGGCGGCAGGGCGTCCTGTGAGGCGCGGAAGCGCGCCACGTACTGGGCGGCCTGCTCGTAGTCCCCAGACGAGATCGCCTTCATTACCTGAGCGACGACAAAAAAATACGGGCCTTATGCGAGACGGCATAGCGGCCTTACTCGGCGGATTGCGCGGGCCACCAGCGCGGCACGCTGCGTTGGAGACGAAGGCGCTTACGCGCGACCTTACGCGGTCAGCTTACGCGCCAATGTCGGCGCAGACGACCCGTCTTGTGGCGTCGCTCGCCTGGTCGGAGCACTCGCGCAGCTCCAGCATGTCGTCCACCAGCTTCAGGGCCTCGCCGACGCGGCCGCAGACGGCGTCCAACTTCCGCACCCTGCCACTCAGCTCGTCCGCGATCCCGGACGTCTGCTGGAGAGTCTCCTGCAGCTTCCGGATCGCCGCGGGGACCTGCTTGTGCTGCTCGCGCGCGTACGCCAGGCTCCGACTCTCGCTCTGGCATTGGAGGCGGCCGAGGGGCTCGAACTGGTTGGGACCCGAAAAAATCGGCCAGGACAAGGAATGAACACAAATCCGCTCAAAGAGGAGAAAAAAAAACACTAAACTTCTGGCGCTCCGCGCGGATTTCTTGGATTCGCGCTGGACCCCCCTCCTGGGCGCGCGGAGCGCGCCAGGGGCGGCGCCGGAGGCGCCGCCGGGGGGCCCAGACGCGGATCCAAGAAATCCGCGCGGAGCGCCCAAAGCTTATGCTTACGTGGCTCTTCCTTCTTCGATCAAAATCAATCACCCGGACCCCTCCCAGGGTCCACCTGGTGCACTTCTTCACCCCCTAATTTAAAGGGGCCCTGGGACACACAAGTAAGCACACACCGATAGAACAGTTCCCCATATTTTCCCATGCTTCCTGGGTTCCTGTCCTCCCCACCACTTCCCATAGTTTCGCATATCTTCCTGGGGGTCGACGATGAATTGTGTCTGTGTGCTCTTTCCCCTCCAGATAGCTCTCCGTCTCTGGCGGCCCCCGGGGGCCCGAGAGCGGGGCCCCCGGGCGGCCGAGGCAGGCCACAAAGCCTGCCCCGCGCCCAGCGCCTGGCGCCTGTCCGCCCCCTCCTCCTCCTCCTCCTCCTCCTCCTCCTCCTCCTCCTCCTCCTCCTCCTCCTCCTCCTCCTCCTCCTCCTCCTCCTCCTCCTCCTCCTCCTCTCCTCCTCCCCTCCTTCTCCTCCTCCTCCCTCCTCCTCCTCCTCCTCCTCCTCCTCCTCCCTCCCTCCTCCTCCTCCTCCTCCTCTCTCCTCCTCCTCCTCCTCCTCCTCCTCCTCCTCCTCCCTCCCTCCTCTCCTCCTCCTCCTCCTCCTCCTCCTCCTCCTCCTCTCCTCCTCCTCCTCCTCCTCCTCCTCCCTCCCTCCTCCTCCTCCTCCTCCTCTCCTCCTCCTCCTCCTCCTCCTCCTCCTCCTCCTCTCCTCCTCCTCCTCCTCCCTCCTCCTCCTCCTCCTCCTCCTCCTCCTCCTCCTCCTTCCTCCTCCTCCTTCCTCCTCCTCCTCCTCCTCCTCCTCCTCCTCCTCCTCCGCCCCCTCCAGCTCGCCCGCAGCCCGTGGGTGGGGCCACCGCGGGCCCCGGGGCCGCCTCCAACTCTGGCAGAGGTGCACGGCCTTCCGGTAGAGCTTCTCGAGCTCCAGCTCGAGGTCCTGCTCCTGGCGCCTCGCCTCGGCCAGCTGCGCCTCCGCCGCCTCGATCGAGAGCGCGCGCCCGCCGCGGCCGTCATCGGGCGCGACCGCGGGCCCCTGCTCGGCTGGCGACATGGGGGTCCTTGGGGCGCAGAAGGCCATACCAGTACGGCGGGCTCGTGTGCACGGCTTCCCCCGGGGCCGTAGGCGACCCGAGGAGGAGGAGGAGAAGGAGGAGGAGGAGGAGGAGGAGGAGGGGAAGCTCCCTAGGAGGGAGGAGGGAGGAGGGAGGAGGAGGGAGGAGGGAGGGAGGAGGGAGGAGGAGGAGGAGGAGGAGGAGGAGGAGGAGGAGGAGGAGGAGGAGGAGGAGGAGGACGGCTCGCCTAAGCCCTTCGGAGAAACCCTGCAGGCTCGTGTCGTGCCGACTTCGGCGCTAGTTAGAGAGAACACCGCGGGGATCGTTCGACCTGAAACGATCGGTCGCTTCCGACACGTCAGATCCTTCATCATCGGCCGAATCCGGGACGCCCGCGGCGTTCAATGTTGAACGCAGGCGGCGAGGTCGCCGCTGGTAGACACGACCCGAACCGAAGTACCGTGCTATGTGTCGGCGGCGAGCCTGGGGGGGAGGAAGTGAGAAGTGGCGGGCCTTCTCGGAAGGCTTGGACGTCCCCCGGCCTTCTGAGAAGTTTCTGAGCCTTTTCCGCAGACGCAGAAAACTTTTCAGAAGGCGCGAGGGCTTTTGAAAAGCCCCGCTGCCTTCTGAGGAGGCCTTCGCCTTCTCACACACCCCGGGCGCGCCGCCGAATTTGGTTTTGGGGTCATAACTCGGGTCTCCGGCGGCCGTTCGGGACGATCCCGGCACCCCCAGAACGCTCTCGCCGAGGCGCAGCCGCTGGAACGCATCCCGAGGCTGGAAAACTGTCGAGTACCAACGAAAACGTCCGAAAACCTCGAACCTCGAACCTCGAGCCTCGAACCTCGAGCCTCGAACCTCGAGCCTCATTTCCCCCCCTCGCTCGCCGCCGGATGTGTCCTTCTCGGAGGCGTGCGGTCGACCCAATCATATGGTACAACCATCTTGCAGCATAGCGCTTCCCCAGCGGCACGGCCAGAAAGCGCCCGCCACAGAGCTCATACTGTAAGATTTCTCGGCGCGCGCGTCGCCCCTTTGGGGGCGACGCACACATGGTAGCACAGCCGAAAATACGAACAGCAGATCTACCATTTAAGCTTCCCAGGAGCTTCTTCAAACAAATCTGGGCCGATGTCTGCTGTTGACGCTGGATGGCCGAACGTGCTCAAGAAGCTGGGCCAGCTTTCCAGCAAGTCGATTGAAAAACGCCGGCCGAGCTTTTCGGGAGGAGGTTTCTTAAACGGATGCTCGACTGCAGTACGCTTAGGTCGGGCCTGTCCCCCTACTCGGAGATTTTGGACGAAAAAGATGCCCAAAAATATTCAAAAAATAGTCCCCAGACTTATCCTGACTATGTTTGAATATTCCCCCTGTAGAGGGACAGGCCCGACTTCATAGTACGCTTGGGGTGGCACCGAGTCCTCGCCGCCACCGCGCAGCCAGCACGCGCAGCGGGACCCCGACGGGCCGCCGGCTCGAGCCAAAAGACATGCGGCCCCTACCTGCAGAGCCCAGGCTGAGCGTCGGAAACTGCCCTGACGTAGGAACCAACCACATGCAGCTGTGAGCAACGCCGTTGCGACGACTGTCATCGGTGGAGCTCCCTATGGGGCCACGAAACGTGTGACGGGGTGTGCCGAAATGGGCATGCGGTGCGCCACACTGTAAACGAGGGCGCTTACGCGCGACCTTACGCGGGCAGCTTTCGCGCCAAAGTCGGCGCGGTCGAATCAATGGTGTTGCGCCAATCAGCCGTACTCAGAATGAGGGGGCCAAGCGGTGTTACGCCATCCCTGAGTGCGTGGGTGGCGTGGGATTCCGTGGCCCAAAGTATGCTTGCTTGTTGTTTGTTGGACTCTCAATTCGAATGAATGCTTATTGTTGAGACCCCCCCTCTGGTGCCCATTGTGTTTTTTTCAACTGAGGTGCCCATCTTTGGGCTTGCACCCTGCTGCTTCACAAAATGAAACCGTGAGTCTCCAAATTGAAGCCCCCGAACTACTACAACAACGGTTCCCGCCTGACACTTCTTCGCAATTGATTCCCAATCGCGCTCTCGCGCAGGACTTCCTCACAATTGATTCAAGACTTGCGCTCTCGCGTAGGGCTTCCTCGTAAGCGATTGAAGCGCCGCGCCCTCGACACTCCAGGATCACATTTTCGCTTTGGATTTCCTTACGATTTACTTGAGAATCGCGCTATCGCTCGAGACTGCATCGCGATTCATGCAGGACTGACGCTTCAGCGACCCGCCCGCTCGACCTGGCCGTCTGGGCCCGCCCGCCCGACCCGCTCGTTTGGTTATGCTGCTTGTTTTTCTACTCCTACTCCCCCCTCCTGTGAATCTCTCGCGTGCTCCATCCTTCTCCCTCCCCCATTGTCCCTTCCCTCCTCCCTCCATTCCCCTGTCGTGGGGGCTGCCGAGGAGGAGGAAGAAGAGAGGAGGGGGGAGGAGGGGGGAGGAGGAGGAGGAGGAGGAGGAGGAGGAGGAGGAGGAGGAGGAGGAGGAGGAGGAGGAGGAGGAGGAGAAGTAGGAGGAGAAGGAGGAGGAGGAGGAGCACGAGGAGGAGGAGGAGGAGGAGTAGGAGGAGGAGGGGACGCCTAAGCCCTTCGGAGAAACCCTCCAATACGGGGTCGCCTCAAGTCCCGACTCTCTCCCCTGGGCCGCCTTCTCCTCGCAAGCCCTTTTGTCGTCACGGCCCCGGGGCCCGGCGCCAGCCCCCCCCCAGAGGCCAGAGGAAACGGCCCAAAACCTCCCGTCGTGCTGCTTTGATCACGGCGCGAGCTTCCCTCGGCTTACAGTGCGGGCGCGGCCTCAAGAAACCCTCGCAAGAAACTCAACCCTGAGAACCCGTGCGCGAGGTGCACCTGATGGGAAACCTGGAGCACCCTGAACGCAGCAGCTCCTTCAACGGCTGCGGGAAGTCACCGCGCAGCGCGAGGAGCGAAGAAACCCAGGATACCCTGACGAAAAGCAGATGGTTTCTTGATGCGCGCCCCCACTGTATGTCATTCCCGTCCCTTTCAAGGACCACCTCCAAGACTTGATTTCGAGCACCCAGACTAGTATCGAAACAGAGTCTGCCCGACACGCCAGCAAAGTGTCGAACGAGTCTCGCCTCGCAGGGCCCGACGCGTGAAAACCCCACGCGTGAAAACCCTCCAGCTTCAGTACTCTCCTGGTACTCGAATTTCTTCCTGGTTATCAAGTCTAAAGCAGTTTGGGACATGATCCCTGACATCCGAAAAAATGCAACATCGCAATAAATCACCACCAAAGCCTCGGGCCCCATCTTTCTTAAGCACTTTTCGAGCCGGATCCATCTGTGATGGTCCCAGGGCCTTAGTGGGCCCTGGAAACGACAGGGCCGTTTTTTTACCGGTTCCGTTTTGCCGTTTTCTTGCCGGTTCCGACAACGTGTTTTTGCGAGTTCCGTCGCCAACTTTCTTTCCAATTCCGGCTCTGGTTCCAATGCCAGAGCCGTTTTCTTGCCGTTTCCGGTCGCCGCTTTTCGCCGCTTCCATGTTCAAGAGATGCTTGTTCGGAAACGGTGACAAACCAGCCCTGCCGCTTCCGAGGCCCACCATTAGCCCGGGGCCCGAAACTTGGCGGAAACGCCCGTGGCGAAAAATCGCAACGCCAGGATCTCAGGGATAACCCTCCCCAGACATGCGACGTCCTGACTTTTTCAGGACGGCGTCCCTGGAAGTTCTGACCCTTTCCCTGGGACCGAATTTCTGTCCTGAGCCGTTTCTTGACGGCCCCAAGGCCCGGCGAGGGCCCCCCGGGGCCGAAAGTAGCCAAAAGCCTCCCGTCCTGACTTTCGTCACGACGCGATCATGCCTGGGGCGGCTCCCTCCTGGAGGAGGAGGAGGAGGAGGAGGAGGAGGAGGAGGAGGAGGAGAGGAGGAGGAGGAGGAGGAGGAGGAGGAGGAGGAGGAGGAGGGGGAGGAGGAGGAGGAGGAGGAGGAGGAGGAGGAGGAGGAGGAGGAGGAGGGAGGGGGGAGGGGAGGAGGAGAAGGAGGGGGAGGAGGAGGAGGGGGAGGGGGAGGAGGAGAAGAGAGGAGGAGGAGAAGGAGAGGAGAGGAGGAGGAGAGGAGGAGAGGAGGAGGAGGAGGGGAGGAGGAGGAGGAGGAGGAGGATGGGGATGCGGCCGCGGCCGATCGCCGGCCGTGCTGCAGGCGGCGGCCTCCGCGGGGCGCACCGCCCGGCGGCCCTGCGGCGCCGCCCGGCGGTGCCGCCAGGGCCGCGCCCTCGCGGCAGGGCGCGCAGAGCCTCAGCGCGGCCACGAGCCGCTCGCCGAGCAGCAGTGCGCACAGGGAGACGAGGAGGTGGACGAGCAGCAGCCTCGCGGGCCACACGGTGGGGGCACTGGGCAGGGGACCCTTCGATGGGGAATCCAGGGTCTGGAAGCCAGAGGAGCTCCCATCGTGGATCGGCCATGGGTAGCACCGCCGCCCCCAGTGGACAAGGAAGCCCCCAGGGACTGCAGCCTCCTGGGCACATTCCTTAACGAACACCCCCACTGTATTTCGGGTGCTGCTAGAAGTGCCCCTGGCCCAAGGTTAGGGGAACGAAGAATGGCATAAGCATAAGATCTCGGAAGTCCGCGCGGGTTCTCGGATCCGCGCTGGACCCCCCTGGCGGCGCCTCCAGCGCCGCCCCTGGCGCGCTCCGCGCGCCGGGGAGGGGGGTCCAGCGCCGATCCGAGAAATCCGCAACCCCCGAATACTCGGACGGGGCTGAAATCCGTTCCAGAGTGTTCCAGAACGCTCCCAGAGCGTTGCGGAACGCGCTGAGAAGGCCGCGGCGCCCGAGCTGGAGGTGGAGGGGCAGCAGCCTGCTGGTGGCGCGCAGAGGGGGGTTCAAATTGAGCAGGGACCAACCGTCCCGGCATTCCTATAGGCCTACCACGAAATTGTCTTTGAACCCAAAAATGTCCTAAGAACAAAAACGGCGTTCTGAGAACATAAACCCGATATGTCAACACAAGACGGCCCCGGCCGTTCCAAGAACACTGCGTGGAAGCCATAAAAAAGGTTATTAGAACATTGCTTGGTAGGCCTATAGGCACGCCTATAGGCACGCCAGGACGCTTCGCCACTGCTTGATCAAGAAAAAGGGGCGACGGGGACTGCAAAGGTCGACGGCGACGGCAACGACGGCGGCGAGGGCGACGGCCCACGGCGCACGGAGCGCGCTGGGGGCGGCGCCAGAAGCGCCGCCAAGGGGGCCCCCCCCAGCGCCGACCCAAGCAACCCGCGCGGACCTCCGAAAGTGTAGGCGTGTGTCGTCTTCGCCTTCTTCGCTGGAAGTGGGAGGAGGAGCAGGAACAGGAACAAGCTCCCAAAAAAAGCGTTTCTCTGAGCGGGCTGGCAGAGCTGCCGAAGGGGCCCAGGGACACACACACACACACACACAAATAAATACACACACGCACACACAAATCCCAGGACTCCCAATGTTTTCACACATGTTCTGGGTTCTCGTCTTCCCCACCACTTCCCCTATACTCCCATGCTTTCCTGGGAATCGCCGACTCCTTGTGTCTTTGTGTGGCTTCCCCCTCCCGAGCTACTGCAGAGGCTCGGGGGAAGAAAAAACCCTGCAGGGGGGGGTCAAGCTCAGGGCGGGGGGGGGGCTCTCGGGGCCGCGCCGAGAGCCAGCGTGCCCCCCCCCTTGCCCAAAGGGCCCCTCCCCCCCAAAAAACGCATTACCCTTAGGTCGGGCATGTCCTCCTAGAGGCGGATGTTAGAAGAAAAATGAAAATAGCCCCCCCCAAAAAAAGTCAAACAAATACTAGAAAAACGTCCTCTGACTAATTTGCACTATTCTTGAACTCTCCGCCTGCAGGGGGACACGCTCGATTCAACATTACCCAAGACGGGGCCCAGCACAAGAGGAGGGAGGAGACCACGGCGGCGCCTCTCCCGCCCGAGGCCCCTGCAGCAGGAGCTCGACCACGAGGAAGCTTCCACAAGAAACCCAACCCTGGAACCCCAGGACGTCCATTCACGTTCGGTATGGGAACCTCGCGCTCCCCGTGGCAAGACCATCGAAGCCCCAGAAGCCCAGGGCACCCTGGAGGCAAGCAGGGTGTTTCCTTGGCACGGGTTTCCACAACATGTCAGCTCCTAACTCCTGTCCTCTCGGGTCCCTCCCGGTGTCCAGCCTGCCCCGCTTTCTTTCGACGCAGATAATGGGACGCACAGAGACATACTAGTACTATCTGTCCTTCTTGGAGGCGTGCGTCCGACCCGGCCATATAGTAGACACATCGTGTAGCATCGTTTCCCGAGCGGTGTGGCCAGGAAGCGCCCGCCACGACGCATGTACTATAAGATTTCTCGGTGCGCGCGTCGCCCCTGGGGGGGCGACGCACACATACGAGTAGAAGTAGTAGTAGTAGTAGTAGTAGTAGTAGTAGTAGTAGTAGTAGTAGTAGTAGTAGTAGTAGTAGTAGTAGTAGTAGTAGTAGT